AGTGGTAGTTGAACAACCAGAACTTTCTTCCTCAGTTTACAGCTGGTGAAAGCGAAGAAGATGACAACATGCTTGTAAGGAGACAGTGGGTCTAATCCCCCCCCCCCCCCCCCGGATCCCGGGACCCACTCAGGGAACTAAGGATTAAAACCAGAGGCTCCTGCATGAGAGCCTAGAGTTCTTAACCATTCAGCCAGCTACTCCTCCAGGCCAGCCGCTCCTTACTCAGCTCACATGCACACCTACCTGAAATGTTCACTACCACAAATACCTGTGTCAGTAGGCCGCTGTGCTAACCACTATACTAAAACCAAGTGTCCAGGATATTCAAGTGTGAGTGATAATGAGCAGGCTGATAGATTGGCTGCTACTGTATGAAAAAGTAGATGTGGTGAAAGCTCTCTGGGATCAAATGGACAGTGCAACAGAACAGACAAAGAACCCATGCACTGAAACATTAATTCAAAAGGGGGTGTGCAGAGGTTGCTGCAAGGTATTCAACACTGAAGGGGGGAGACATAGGGGGACTTTTTATCAGGTTGACACTGGTACTAATAGCATGTCCAATCTTCCTTGGCTACTGAGGAAGGAGACGGAGCATGTGTGGGAATGTCCCAGGTGCAGTGACATCAGTTCTTGATGGATTCATATATTTATTCACAATCATCAAGTTACCACAGTTCTTACGCCAAACACAGCCTCGCTAAATTGACACTAAAGAACATTTGCAAGCAGAATGTCCTGTCAAAATCATGTATACGGTCAGATAATAAAATGTTAAGTTACAACCAAATAAATAGTATAAAGTACAATGTCTTATGTACAACATTATCAAAGAGAAGGTTCTGGACATAAATTACAACAATCATGCATCATTTCATCATCATCATCATAATCACTTTCCACTTCTGCCATTAACAGTTCTATGTATAAACAGTTTGCAATCCGTCGCTTGATGCACGGCACTGACAACTGTCACTTTGTGTGGATGTAGAATGTCTTTCACTCTTTTGCCCAATACAGCAAAGGTACATAGCATTCTCATGCACAGTCTCTGTATTCTTTGCTGTCGCTCGTTCTGCCTTCTATCCCCTAAAGGAACACAGGCCCTCAACCTACTCACGCCAAGCCGTTCTATCCTTCGCTATTACATGTTTATGGGTTTTCATGTTAATTAATCAACATTATGGACAGCCTAACTGGCATTATTAGTTAACACTCAGGCAGAGATAATAAGCTCTGTATTCATTTGGCTTTTTATATATTTTTCTTTTTTTTGCCAAGTTAATTAATTGACACTGCAGACAGCCTAAATGGCATACTGGTTTACATTTAGGTTATATAATAAAGCCCTGTATTAATGAAGCTGAGCAATAGAGACAAGCCAGATAAAAGATGGGCTTTAGAGGAAAATAAAATCCAGACCAAGGCAGTTATTAGAACCCACTGGAACACTGGCCTTCTAGAAGAACACAATGTTGAAGACTCAGTCAACATCCTCACAGGAATATGACAAATCCCTGTATTTAGACTGTGAACTGGACTCTATGGCCATGTGTACAAGAAATTCAAGACTGTGAACTGGACTCCACAGCCATGTGTACAAGAAATTCAAGACTGGGAACTCAGAACTTTGCCCATGTAGACAAGCACCCCAGAATTCTGAACATTTTCTATAGACATGGTTTCTAGATGCAGCAGAAAGATTCCAAGTCTGGCCAGTTAGCATTCCAGTGGAAACCAAACTGTAAGGATTGGTGAAGGACATGCCTTGCACCACAGCCTTCACAGAAACCTGTAGTCCTCTAATCTGAAAACCGCTGGCAAATACAACAAAAGAAGAAGAAGTATTCAATTCAGTTTGTTCACGTAATTTACATGTCTGTTATGGTAATTAACATTACAAACAGCCTAACTGTCATACTGAAACAGCCTGCTAAAACCAGTCACCCAAACTCATACAGAAAATATGTTCACAAACGTCTGTGGAATGGACAGAGAATCAAACATGGCAGAATGAACAGAGAAACTAATAATATCCCACTCAAATAAAACATCTAGCTCATGTACACATACACAGCATTATGTTTAAAAGTGTAGAAAATCGTGAAATTGTACATGGAATATATAGGCAACTGATGGTAAAAATGTGTACATTTGAAAAGTTATGATGTATTCAAATGGAAGGTAATGATGTATTCAGATGGAAGGTAATGATGTAATCACATGGAAGTTAGTGATCTATTCAGATGGAAGGTAATGATGTATTCAGATGGAAGGTAATGGTGTAATCACATGGAAGTTAGTGATGTATTCAGATGGAAGGTAATGATGTAATCACACTGAGGTAATGAAGTAACTGGAAAGAAAGCAAAAATGCAATTAAAATAATTATCTGGAAGATAATTACGTAATCTGACGAAGGTAATGACGTGTGTAATATGTAATCAGATCAAATGAATTTAACGATTTAATCAGGACATTTTTTTTTTTATTTGTCAGCTGGAATTAAAATAATCAGTTGGAAAGTAATGATGCAACCACTGGTAGTTAATTATTTATACGTTTGTAGGAAGTATATAAGTAATGATGTAATTAACTGTAAAGCAACAGTGTGATCAGCTGAAAGTTGAAGAAGCACCCATATATTCTTATGGTTCTATCAGTATGTAAGCAATGATGCAATAAACTGCAAATCATGGAATGAGGCTGAAAGATGATGACACATCAATATGTAGTTAACTGTAGATCAACAGAAAGTTAATGGTACATCAGTATAAAGAAAATAATATAATGAACAGGAAGATAACAGTGCCATCACCAAGACGATTATGACACCTTCAGTCACTTCACAGACTCTATAAATTAGCACAAGTCAAAGAGTTATGTATGCATCACCCCGGCCCCTGTTCTTCAGAATAATGAATCACAAAACTGACACTCTACTTATTGCTTTCTTGAAGTCTGAAGTATGTACATGTCTACCAATAAAAATCCTCACTTCCCAACCGAGCTGACAATGTTCATCTCAGTGACAAAAACATGACAAGGAATAAATTATCATTTGTTCTACAGAATAGTGAATCACAAAACTAACACTCTACTTATTGCTTTCCTAAAGGTTGAAGTATGTACATGTCTCACAATTAGTCCTCACTCCTTAACCAAACTAACAGTCTTCATCTCAGTGACAAAAACATGACAAGGAACAGATTTTCATTGAAACCTTAACTCCCTAACTCTTTCAGTACCAGGAGATTATGTTAGAGATGCCTTCTGCGTTCATACACGCAATGAAAGAACATGGGTCTGTAACTTCCAAAGAGGCAGCATTTACAGTGCTACATGTTAGAATATCTGGCCAGGTTTCTGTAGCATGCTCAGTCAAAATTTAAACCATACAATAACCCACCATGCATCTGTAGAGACATTAGGTAACAGCTGATCACACAGGGTGCTTTGTTTGGGACGCAAAGAGTTAAGTACCAAAGACCGCACCAAGTTGTCTGGATATTACTTAGGTGCACCAGACAACTCAAGCACTCCAACAGGAAAATGTGACTCCTACAATGGTGCTGTGTATGTTGAGTTGAGAACTGACATCAGCACTGGGGGCATTCCCATAAGGGCTCAGCCCCCATCTACAGCAGTCAGCCCAGAGTCCCAATCCCAATACTAACAGTAACAGTCTGGTTGTAGATCCCCTCATCACTGCTTACTTCAAGATCTTCTTCAGACCATGATGATCTATGTCAGCATCTGCAATGCTGACTCGCTCCCAAAGAGCCTTGATAACATCTAGTTTGTCATGCATCAGTTTTGTTCTGTGCATTTGCCCCTGTGGATGTGGTACTAATGAATGTGGTATTATACTATAGAAAGACTGGAAATAATAACAGCAGAAGTCATGTTACCAGGAAAGAGAGGCAGGGGCTGACCAGCACAAAGCTGGCACAGGATATATAAGTGACATCTTTGGTAGGAATGCCATTAAGGCAGGAGAGCTGGTGAGACTTAGTTTCTTTCAGGTACCACCAGTGATAAGAGTGATGTTTTGCAAAGGACCAGCCACATGATGAATGATGGGTACGGTATATACAGTACACCTATGATTTTGTTGTCATCATTACTGCCTCAATCAAGCCTCAGTTAAAATCCTCTAGGACTGAAAGAGATGAGCAGGAATCATGATGTACATATCTTCACCAGGTCAATCTTTTGGGGATCAATACAAAAAAACAGGTCTCCAAAGGTAGAAGGCTCAGTTGGTTAGTCTTTCCTCTTGAGCCTAGGACGGCGCATAGGGCAGAGGTCATAGCTCTCCATGTCTGGCAGTTTGCTGACAGCAACTGGTTTAGCTCCCGGATGTTCATTAGGCCCATGGTTCAGTCTTCCCTGATGATGGTTCTATGCCTTAAATCCTCAGGCTTAAAGACCTCCCTGCTTCCTACACAGCAAAAGTGGCAATTACAAGCAGTAATGAATGGGGTGTGTGTGTGTGTGTGTGTGTGTGTGTGCATGTGTGCGTGCGTGCAAATGTATAACATTTTCTCTTGCATGTTTAGTCTCCAAGCCAGCTAATTCTATCACCGTAACCTTCCCCATTATTTAGACAAAATAAATATTGTTATGTTATCACAATCAATGTCACAGTACACTGCAAGTTCTGACTAACTGCCCAGTCCTCCAATGCAGCAGCCACTTCAAGGTACCTCTACAAATTGTTCCCATGAGAAGCCAGTTAAATTTGGGATCTGAAACTCAAAGACAGTGTAGATCTACTTTGCCATGCTTTACTCCCAGGTAATGTAATCATATTAGTATCAGACGCTTCTCCACATCCACCAGCCCAGTCTGTTGTGCATTGATGATATCAACTCTGAACACGTTTCTGAGATGAAATAAATAATTGTAGATGTATTCAATGGTGCTCTCTAGTCCTGTGCTGACCACAGTGATATCCCAGCAGAAAAGCCGGTCAATCATCACAGATAATCTCCTCACTTTGAGGACTTGCCATAGTCTCCATCAAATGCCCATTGGTCCTCATCAAGAATCTCCACGTAGTACTGCTTGTCTCGCAGATATCTTTTGACCTTTTCTGGCACTGGCAGAAGATCTAGGTGATCCTTCCTCACTGTCTGACGCACAACAAATCTGAAACAAATCAAATTTATTTACACATTAAAATTCCCACAATGTATTCACAATATGAAGCACCCATAACTTACACTGACAATTTTTGTGAAGAAGCTGAGAGTGAAGATATTGATGATATTTTGGAACTGTTTTTTTTTCAGACGGCCAAGTATTAATAGCAGAACAAAAGACAGTCCCCAGAACCATGCAAGAATGAGTCAAAAGCAAGTGCCAGAAATATACAATGAAAAAAGCCTAGTAAGGACAAAGACAATGGTGATAGGTAGACGAGCAGAAACAAGATCAATAAAAGTAAATAACACTGAGATATAACAAACAGTTTAAATATCTTGGGTCATTATTCACATCAGAAGCAGAATTTCTTCCTTTGTGTTGCCCTGACACTCAGATTACTACCTAAATATGTAAATATGTGCACCACACACTACTTGACCTTTGTTGACTGGAATGACTTCCTTTCATGCAAGTTTCTGTAATTTTTAGAGGGTGGTAGAGCTGGTCCCTCACCCAACCCTCCTCCTTTTTCATCCGTGTATGGGACCAGCAATGGCGAAAATATGCTTAGTTTTTTTAGTTATGCTCCAATTTCTCTCATGTTCTTTGATTAAATGAGCATATAATCTTTGCTTATATAAAGATGCTCCTAAAGTATTTAAATTCTTGCACTTGTTTCAACCTTTAGTCCTGTATGTCAATGGTTTTGTGTTAGTGGTCCATACTCATAACTTCTGTTTTTATCATGTTTTTTGTGACAAGATTATCTCTTCTCATATGTCCTGCTTGTAGCACCGCATCATGCGCTTTTTTTGTGTGGCCCTTTAATGATACTTATTTCATTCTCCTCAGAAACTGAATTAACCCTGCCATTTTATGTTTCTCAATTCTTGTTCTTCTTTGCATTCACTGGCTGTAAACTCTGGTGGAACGTTCAGGTCATCCATCAGGTAGACTTACAAACACTTGAGGTCACCAAGAGAAGACAATCACAGAGATGAATGGAAGTGGGTGTATCTGCTGCAATGAACCTCAAGGCCCAAAATGCTGAAGAAGAAGGAGGACGAGAAGAAAAAGAACAAGAATAAGAATAGGAAGAAGAAGAAAAAGAAGAATAAGAACAAGAACAAGAAGAAAAACAAGAAGAAGAACAAGGAGGAGGGGAAACAAGAACAAGAACAAGAAGAAAAACAAGAATAAGAAGGAAGAGGAAAGGAGAATAAGAAAAACCAAGCAACCAATAACTCTAGTTTTTCTATAATTGCATTCTTAGTCCAACAATCATATCCACACATTATAATCAACATAACATGAGCAATAACAATCCAATATATTCATTTACATAATTTAACATTTCCATTAAAATACACCAGAGAAAACTTTACAAGTTAATACAAAGTGAACCTAAGGAAGCCTAACACTGAATACCTTGATAAGAAGAGGGAGGTGCGGCAACGTAGGTGCTAGACGTTCGCCTGCTGGCCTAAGGTCTTGGGTTCAAATCACTGTCAAGGCTGATGGCTCTCAGGTTGACCCAGCCTAAAATGAGTACAGGTTATGTCTTTTGAAGTAAAGGCGGTCTGTGTGACGTTGACCATATCACTCATAGAGCGCCAACTGGTCTATAAAATATGAGTCTAGCACCTCAATTAAGGTGCGGCTGCGTGGCTTTAAGGTTAGTGACTGTGGTTAACAATTCCAAGATCCTGGAGTGCTGTGGTTCATTCCCTGCGGTGGACAGGGAAAAAATATATGTTGTTGTGGTTTTTGGACAAGGGTACAAGAGTCGCACCGTGGAAGAGATTGGATCCACATCATGCAATATTCCCAAAGAGGTACACTGTAGCCAACCTTCATCGTGGATACGGCACAGAGTCTGTAAGAGCACCACTGGCGCCCCCCCTCCCCCCCAAAAAATGGGTGTCCTTTACCTACTTAGAAGTTGAGGTTAGATTCTACTATATAATAGATGTGTGCAAGCGGGACATGAATGATACAGATAAAGAGGTAAATTTGTGAGAACAGGATGACATGGACCATGTAGCAAGCAGGAGGAAATCAAGAAGGAAACAAGGATACAGAAGGAAATGACACCAGCTATGGCAACATGCATGGAGACAATCTACATTCTTTGGACATGTCAGGAGAAGGAGAAAACCGGGGTATACTGTGACAGTGGGAAAGTTAGAGGGAAAGAGAGGCAGAGATAGAGGAACGAACAAACAAAAAACTTTATTTTCATAGAGTCACAAATTGGGCACGCAGGCCCGTCTTACATCGGCCCTTCCAAGCACCCGTCTTTCACACAGCAGTTGTATTTTATCAATAAAGCATGTTATATTCGGAAGAGAGAGAGAAGATGCTGGACGGTTTGACATCATGGTAAGGGAGATCACCTGTGTCAGAACCGACTAAAAGCACATAAGACAAAAGGTTGTGGATAGGCATGACTAACAACATCACACGGCTTGGACTATTAGAAAAGAAGAAGATGGCAGCAATAGTACTGAAAGCCCATGTTCTAACTGTGACAGATTTATCTAAACAGGGGCAGGTCTTACTAGTCACACTTGCTGTCAACACGGACTATGCCTCCCTACAGCCAAATGTAACACTTTCTTCTGGGAAGATGGAAAGGTGCTGATAGGAACAGCTCACTCACCTTGACAAGTGTTTGAGAGTGGCCACCCTGAAGTTTCTCGACACTGGAGTCAGTAGCCGAATGGGAAGTGGCGGCATTCCACGGGCGCTGGGTCTTAAAAAATACAGGAATCGACCATCTCTGGAATTCTGTATTGACTTTTCTATAAACTCACAGATTCTTGCCTTCCCATGAGATTCCGGTTGTGAGAAAAAGCTAAACAGACCTGGAAAAAAATAATTTACAATAGCAATGCAAAAATATGTAAAATTCACATAGAAATAACAACTACAGTGTTGTAAAAGTATCCATTTCAATGCTTTGAGGTGGGTTGGGTTTATCTGTGGATCATTGCTGGAGCTATGATGTTTGTGCTTTGTGTGATGCTCTCAGCAGGCAGCTAGCTGTTCTGCAGAGAGAGACTGAGCCTTATGGGATCGTAGTCACAGTCAAGGTTTCAACTTCACTGCCATCGGGTCACCCCATACTTGCTAGGTTCCTGTGCCAGTGAAAATCAGATGAAATGTCCCTCACTGTCGCATGTGAAAAACTGGTGAACGATTAGACCTGGCACAATCCAGAAATAGGCGCACGCACCAACGCCAACAGTAGGATAAAACTCGGTGCAAAAAATTCAATACTTCCAACTTTATCCTTTATCTTTGAGTATATATTAAGTAAAGGACTCTTAATGCCATCTGTGCAAAGGGCATATGATGCTAAACTTATATTTTAACTGATCGATCAGCACTCGATGGGTGATGTGGTTAACATCATCTAGCCACCTTTCCTTCCCAAGACAACTGCTGGCATGTTTTTTTAGGCAATGCCTAAAAGTAGGAATGCATCTGCCTAAGAGGTAAGGAACTGTCTGCATACAGATAAGCCAAATCTGTAAAACAGGTGTACACACAAAACTCAAATAATGGAACAAGACAGAAGTACTAGAAGTGAATGACCAGCCTGAACTTTCCACCAGAGCTAATACCTGACTAAAAAGAAGATAAAAATCTGTTCGGGTGAGGATTCAAACTCAAGACCTTTAGATTGGCAGGCAAGCATCTAGCCACTACATGGGCATATAGTGTTAACCCCATATTTGCATAAAGCAGTCTGTCGTGAGGTGAGCAGCCAACCCTACACAATGGACGAGTCGTGAATTTGACTTTCCTCGCGCTCAGTCAAATTTCAAACTTAAACCCGTCCGGAAGGGTATATAGTCCCTTATATTGATATATACCTTTATCTGGTGATATATTCATTTCTAGACCCTCTAGTTGCTTTGATAAATCTTCATTTTCAAACTTGCAACTGTAGGTTGACGATTTCTGCTAATTTATTTTGAAATTCCTGTAAATCGGTTTACCCCTTGGGCAGGAATACAGGGGACTTCTTTCCTAGAGACGCTAAGTTTGATTTTGTAAAAACATTCTTTCGCCTGATCCCAAAGTGTCAAGACGTGTATACAGTCTATGTAGAATTTGGCGCATTCAAAGTTCCATTTCTATCTTGGAAGATTTCCTAAGCTTGGGATGATACTTCCTTAGAGATCAGGCAGATGAATCACAGTCCAGCCAACAACCACCAACCCATACCATTCTGTGCACCAAGCGTATCCAAAAGTCCTATATTACTGTGCCACTACCTCAACATGGCAAGAGCTTGTTGGTGAGTTCCAGGACCAGTGGACCATTGCAGACACCTATGTCATCAATCCAGAGAACCAGTCTTCAAGAGCTTTGTTGGGCTCTTATGCATTTGTTGTGTCATCACCTGTGAGACCGGCAGCGGGCATCACAGTCTCCAAGAGCTTTGGTGGGCTCCTGTGCAGTTCCTGTGTCCTCGTTTGTGACAGTCAGCTTGTACCAGATCAAATCAAGGCCCAACTACTGATTGAGTCAACTACAGTCGAATCACCATGGACTGAGGGGAGCATTGACCTCCGAACTGGGCTAAGTGATCTATCATTCACATTGCATGCTCTCTTCCCACAGCACATTATCAGTCCGATGATGAACTCATGTACACCTCAAGGCTAAATCTGGCTGCTTCAACATCTGGGTTGTGTCATTGTTTCCTGAGCTCCATTCACTGAACTCTTGTTTATCTATTCATCATTATATGTATATATTGTACTGATTACCTGCATAAATTTTCATGGCTGACTTGGGTGTCCCTGTTTTACCATTCTAACTGTCTAGCTTTGATGTTTGTGTGAGTAGTAAGTGTTATCTGTGTTAACACGGCTATAATAGTATACTATCATAACCTGGGGGCTATCTTTTTATAGTAGTGGGGGTGTCCAGCCAAGTGTGCCTAGGAATATTATATATTTTGTAGTGCCAAAGCTTGAGTTGCCCTACTCCTGAAATAAGTTGAGCGTATATTGGCCACGGGGCATCCCTTAGACCAATACGAGCCAACGACTCAACATAATTATTTCCCAGTGCTGTTGGTTCTTAAGGAGAAATCCTTAAATCATGCACGCGACAGGAGTGATATGTGACACAGTCCATGCTTGACGAGTGATGTGATCAATGGTGAATCACGTCTATGTCGTCTTCGAGGCCAAGACAGGAGATACTATAACAAACTTTTCATGGGAACACCGGCTGTAAACTCCAGCAGAAAGTTCTGGTTGTTTGTCCACTACTGGACTTCAGTCTTGTTCCTGAACATGAACTTTGCTTGCAGATCCATTTTACAGATCTGACTTATTTGTATGCAGACTGTTGGTTCCTTGCTTCTCAGGCAGATGGACTCCAACTGTGGCAACCCTTAATCAGTCAACTCTTACAAACTGCTTGTTAGGAAGGCACAGCTATCAAAAATGGGTCCCTGGAACCCACATGGAGAAGTAGAGTGGCTACTGCATTGGAGGACTTTGCATGCATGGGAATGCCCGATGTGCAGTGATGTTAATTGTGACAACCCATCATAACATATTTCATATCAGCTGCTTTAAGTTCCCAGACTATTTTGTGATACTTATTTTAAGTTGGGTTCATCGGCACATTGCGTTGTGGTTTACATATAGACTGTGACAGCTGTGCCTTTTGACACAAAACACATCTGATTTCAGTGAAACCTTAATTAGTCGCCTTAAACAACACGCTTGTTAAGGAAAAGCAAGTAAACCTATTCTTTCCGCCCTTCCAACCAACCCAGAAAAAAAAGGGAGTTAGAACTAGGGCTGTACCGAATAGTGATTTTACACTATTCGGCCGAATACGAATAGCAGGACAAACTATTCGGCAGAATACGAATAGTGTTTAGTGTATAAAATATGTCTGGGGGGGAAAAAAACCATTATAATGGCAAATATATGCTGAACTTTTACTTCCCATAAAGTAGCACAGAATAGTCATCTCCTTCTTTAGCATTCTTAGTCCTTGAGGTTTAATGCTGCAGATATCACTCGTCTCCATTCATCTCTCTGGCTGGCCATCTGTTCATAATTTGTGACACCCAGTGTTTGCAGGTCTGGCTGGGCATAATCTCTCAAACTTATTTTTTGTCTGCCTCGTGGTCTACGCCCATTCCTCTCTCATGTGTATACAGTTTTTACTTCTCTGTCATTTGACATGCTTTCAATATGCCCCAACCATTTGAGTCTGTTAGCTCTCGTGATGCCAGTGATCAATGGTGATTTAAACAGATTATGTGTTACGTTGTTGCTTCTCACTCTCCCTTCCCTGCTGTTAGCATCTTTGATGGGTCCAAAGATTTGTCGTAAAACTGTTTTTGAAAACCTGTAATAAGGCCTCATCTCTTTTATTTTGTGCTTCAAGTTTCAGAGCCAAATAAAACGACTGGTCTTTTCAACGTTTTAAATATTTTGATCTTGGTGTTGCGAGACAGACACATTGACTTTAGCAGATGTTGAAGGGTATAGTATACTTTATTTCTAGATTGTATTTCTTCTCTCAGCATGTTGGAACAGTTGAAGTTTGCACCCAAGTACTTATATGTTTCCGTTCGTTTGATTTTTATATTATCGACTTGTATGTGGCCAGAGTTTATATTTTACCATGTCTAGTTAGTATTCATACAGAATAGTTAACATTTAAAAACATTTTATGTTCTGCATCCTTCAGTCAGTGTGGTAACTAATAACTAGGATTGAAAGAATCCTAAGTATTATAACAAGTAACTAAACTTGAAAATTGTCACTGACAGCTTAGTTAATGCAGGAAAGCTGCATTAGCTTTCAACAAAACCAATCGTTCCATGTAGTCAGTATTAAGGCCGTGTATGCAGAAGCGGGTGTAAGGTAACTACTATTCGTATTCGGCCCGACCTCAACTATTCGTCCGAATCCTGAATAGTCAATAAGTCCACTATTTGGCCCTGAAGCGAATACCAAGCGAATATTCGGTACAGCCCTAGTTAGAACCCAAGAGGGGCAATATTAAATAGCAAGAAAAAGGACTATGTCTGTAAGTAAATACATTTACGCTAGAGATGTGGCCTAGGAAGCACAGCCTGGTGAAGTGTGTGATCCACCACACTAAACAAACCAAAAAACACTGCACATTATCATTCCCTCTCTTAAATGAACATCTGAAAAGACATCTACACACCTTTTGCATGCTCTATCCGAGTATGGTGAACCTCTCCAAGAGACTTGAAGCTGAGGCTCAGCAAATATTTCTGGTCTGAACTGTCACGGACTAAGAAAGATCCATCTTCCTTGTCCTTGAGAATCAGAGTAGCTTGCTCATAGGAGATTGGTCCCCAGTACCAATCTTTCTATTGAAAAAAAAACATCGAAAGGGTTGAAGCCGTGATAAAGTATCAAAATCAAGTTGCATTTATGTTTAAAATCTAAAGCTGTAAGCAGTGCTCAAGTTAAGGAATAAACTCACAGGGAGCAAGTACAGCAGGGATCTACCAGTCATCAGTAGAAATTATCCTCGTCGACAAGTGTTTCGGCCCACGATTCCTAGACACTTTCGGAGGTAGGCCCACCTGAGTTCATGAAGCTCAGGGCTGGTACCCTGCTGCACGAGATTACCGGATGGTGTTTTCTTTCGGATAGGGACAAGACGACTTGGTGATTTGCAGAAGGTACTGTGAGATAAGAAGTCGTTGCGGCAGCCTAATTAGAACAGTCAGCATGCCTGGACGACCGAGCAACAAGCTTACGTTTGGTTTACCGGACACATGTTGGACTTTTGTTAGCAGGTGGCAGAGGAACACTGGCAGACAATTCGGACACGATGGACTTTCAAAGAGTTTAAATTGTAGTGCTGCAGAATCATTGTTGCAAGCGCACCCTGACACCATGTGATAAAGTAAAGGACCCATTTCCATGACCTTAGGTGTACTGGGTATAATGTCAAAGACATTTTTTTTTGGGGTAAAACAATCATCGCATGGTGGGTGATGTAATCAACACCACACCGGCCACCTTGACTTCTCATGACTTTCATTGCTACCTATTTTAGGCTGAGTCAACCCAGTCATATAACCAAACAATTTGACTTGATGTAGATTTGAACACCCCTCCCTTAGCCCTGATGCAAAGCATTTAGCCACTACGCCATGGCAGCTGCCTTCCTGACATGATATCCAAATGAAAGCAATTCTCTCTCTCATCCTTTTTTTCCGCTGCACCTTTCAAGCAATGTTAAAATTAAAGACAAGCTAATGTGGCAAACCAAACAATGAAAACACTTGTACTGTGTTCTGTAAAGTTAGGGGCTTAATGAAACAGTGCAACACAACTTGCTTAGATGGTGATATTCTGTATGAAGTGCACACAAAGCCATGGTGGCATATCAGCTAGATGCTCACCTGTCTACCTGGTCTAGAGTTTAAATCTGCATTGAGTCTGAATTGTCAACAGTCACCTTGGCTCCCAGGTTGACCCAGCCCAAAATGGATACCAAGCAATGTCCTGGGAAGGAAATGGCTGGCATGTTGTTAACCCTGTCACCTAGCAAGTTTTGATTGGTCTATAAAAACAATAGGTTTCATCCACCATCCAGTTCTGACTAGTCTATAAAAAATATAGGTCTCATCCACCCATCAAGTACTGATGGTCTATAAAAAAATATAGGTCTAATCTCTTTTTCTTCTTCTTCATTCTTCGCATTCACCAACTGTAAACTCTGGATAAGAGTTCTGATTAGTGGTCCATTTCTGGACCTTACACTTGTGCCAGCTTGAGTTTTTCATGCATATTCGTTTTACAGATCTGGTTTATTTGTATGCAGACTATTGTTTTCCCGCCTCTCAGGCAGATGCACTCTGACTTGATTGCAAAGGCAACACCCCTAATTAGCTGGCGTCTGTTTCACCCGGACTAGAATCCCAGAACCCACATGGAGACAGGAATAACATTATATGCCCAAGGTGTGAAATTGGTCCTAAAGCCTACAAACAAGAGTTTACAGGGGAAAGAAAAAGGCCACATAATATTCAGTTCCAAGACTCCTATGAAGTCTCTATATATGTCATGCCACCAAAAATGCAGCTTGGCTCATAAGCATATTCCTCAGAAGTCAATATAGTGGTTTTTCTCTTCTCTTCCACACACACACAAAAAAAGCAAATATGAAATGTTTAAAGAGTAAAAAGAGGACACCACAAACTCACCTGCTGCAGCTGCTCCATACTTTCTAGAAAGTCCTGCTGTTCATGCAGTGGTTTTGGCTCTGGAATAAACAAACAAAAGAATCTCTTAAAATGACAGATAATATAAATAAAAGTATGTCTAGGATGGAAGAGTACAACTTTAACAACACTAACCAGAATTCAGTTCCTTTTTTTTTTTCTTTGAGTGTCCAGACAGAACAAACATATCAAGGCAATTAATAAGGTCAATGTATGCAAAGCAGGATCAGAGGTTATTTACTGTTTTTTTGTGGCTGCTGAATCAACCAGACCAAAACTTGCAGAACTTGGCATGACTGGTGGCTGTAGCTGGCAATCATGTGCAGGGACAACATTAGCAGATTCAACATCAGTATACTACATAAACACTCAATACCTCTACAATCTGGCACCTGCTCATAGAGACAAATAGCTGTTAAATCAAAGTCGAGAGGATCGACATTACTGAACCGGGTTTAATCCCAAATGGTTCAGTCTCTTTCTGCAGAAGGGCTTTCCATCTGCCAAGAGCATCACACAAAGCAGAAGAGAGCACTTAAAAGGGCAGCTGGTACGTTCTGTTGTGGTTTACAGCTAGGCTGTGATAAATCCGCTTTTAGGCCAAACACAATTGATTTTAACTCTTTGAGTCCCATGGGGTTTAGCATCACAGGCCCAAGGGGTAGTAAAGAAAGTAATAAAATCGGCACATCATGCGTTCATTGGGCTTCTAGACAGGAACCTATGAACATATGATGCGTTCCTTGGGACTCAAAGAGTTAACAAGTCCTTAATCAGTCACTTGTTAGAAATTCTTTGTTAAAGGGCAAAAAATTATTCACATGAAATGTGACTAAAAAAAGCTAAGGGGGGAGGAGAAAAATGAACAGACAATAGACAAAGCCGTAATATATAATAGTAGCAGTAATAAATACTAACGATCCATAGGTAGTATGTTTATATTCCATTGAACTATACTTATTACGGCTTTGAAACTTTTTATTTCTTCCACAGAACTGTTATATGTTTTATGTATTAGAGCTATGAAACTTTTTATTTCTTCCACAGAACTGTTATATGTTTTATGTATTAGAGCTATGAAACTTTTTATTTCTTCCACAGAACTGTGATATGTTTTATGTATTAGAGCTTTGAAACTTTTTATTTCTTCCACAGAACTGTTATATGTTTTATGTATTAGAGCTTTGAAACTTTTTATTTCTTCCACAGAACTGTTATATGTTTTATGTATTAGAGCTTTGAAACTTTTTATTTCTTCCACAGAACTGTGATATGTTTTATGTATTAGAGCTTTGAAACTTATTAATTCTTCGACAGAACTGTTATATGTTTTATGTATTAGAGCTTTGAAACTTTTTATTTCTTCCACAGAACTGTTATATGTTTTATGTATTAGAGCTTTGAAACTTTTTATTTCTTCCACAGAACTGTTATATGTTTTATGTATTAGAGCTTTGAAACTTTTTATTTCTTCCACAGAACTGTTATATGTTTTATGTATTAGAGCTTTGAAACTTTTTATTTCTTCCACAGAACTGTGATATGTTTTATGTATTAGAGCTTTGAAACTTATTAATTCTTCGACAGAACTGTTATATGTTTTATGTATTAGAGCTTTGAAACTTTTTATTTCTTCCACAGAACTGTGATATGTTTTATGTATTAGAGCTTTGAAACTTATTAATTCTTCGACAGAACTGTTATATGTTTTATGTATTAGAGCTTTGAAACTTATTCATTCTTCCACAGAACTGTTATATATTTTATGTATTAGAGCTTTGAAACTTTTTATTTCTTCCACAGAACTGTGATATGTTTTATGTATTAGAGCTTTGAAACTTTTTATTTCTTCCACAGAACTGTTATATATTTTATGTATTAGAGCTTTGAAACTTTTTATTTCTTCCACAGAACTGTTATATATTTTATGTATTAGAGCTTTGAAACTTTTTATTTCTTCCACAGAACTGTTATATGTTTTATGTATTAGAGCTTTGAAACTTTTTATTTCTTCCACAGAACTGTTATATGTTTTATGTATTAGAGCTTTGAAACTTTTTATTTCTTCCACAGAACTGTGATATGTTTTATGTATTAGAGCTTTGAAACTTATTAATTCTTCGACAGAACTGTTATATGTTTTATGTATTAGAGCTTTGAAACTTATTCATTCTTCCACAGAACTGTTATATATTTTATGTATTAGAGCTTTGAAACTTATTAAATCTTCCACATAACTGTTATTTGTATTTAGCTTTGAAACGTTTTATTTCTTTAAATGGTGCCTTCGTTTTTACCTGAACTGAATGCTTCACATATTCATCTCATAATTCAGTGACCATCCTCAATTCTGCGATCGCTCGGTCGGTTCCCCCCCCACCTCTTTTCCGTCTGCTACCTTAAGGTCTACCATGCCTTCCTGGGATTTAAAATTGTCAGTCTGTACGGAGGACCAACAAGGCGGATCCCAGATACCCACTTCGACCTCCAGGGAAGTTATAATCAAGGCACCCACCCGTAACAGCTACGCCTAAGGTTAAAGATTAAAGTCGAGAGGATCGACTTCATTGCACCGGGTTTATACCATATGGCTCGGTCTCTCTCCGCAGAACAGCTAGCCGCCTGCCGAGAGCGTCGCACATAGAATGGAACTCCGTAGCTCGGGAGACGGTCCCCTGTGATCTCAGTAAAAACTGCACTCATGAACTAAAGCGCGAAAAGTAAACCGAGCCCGCGACCTTCGGAGGGCGAGGAAAACGGCCTGACCACTTCATCACAAAGACCCCCACAGCTATGCTTGTCAGGTGTAACCTGCAGTCCTGTGCTGGTGAGGAGAACTTTTAGACGTGCAACGTTCACGAATACTCTGACCTCAATGTCACAATTCTCATTCAGCCTCACTTATACAAGTACTAGGTCAACACGCCACCTGGTTTCCTTGCAGCGGGATGTCTCCAGGCAGCTTCAAGAGCTTCTTCTGTGAGGTTATGAGTCGCACTTTCCCATGATAAGGTTGTTAGCCACATACACAAGCTTGTGTGGCACTGTGGCTCAGAGAAGTGTTCTTCAACCGGCCAACGCGCTTCGTAATGCTGGGTGCCGGTTTCTATTCCAACGGCTGACGATTTGGCAGCAGACGGTTTTTTTCGACAGTGGTATCGAGAGTCGACCGTGTAGCAGCGACAGCAAACTACTGAATGTAAATTTGCCTAGAAAACCCATAACAGCCAAAACATACTGGGATTGGTTCTGCAACGTCATGTAAAGCATAGGCAACTAACTTTTAAAGGTACAGTAGGCAGTCTTTCTCTTTCAGGACTGAGTCTGTAGGATTCACACCTCAAGAAAGAGAATCAAACATGTAATATCCCGGAAACCCTGTTCAACCACAGAAAAGGGTTTACATTGGGACAATTTGACATATATTCTCTAACCCATGGGCAGTAGCAGATGTCGCATTTCCCCCTGTTTCTGATGGGATCGCGAAACAATCTCCCCTATTTTGGTGTGACCGCGAAACAATTTCCCCTGTTTTTGGTCGGACCGCGGGTGTAAAAAGGTTGAAGATCACTGGCTTAGAGGTTAATAAAATTGTTTCACAAAAATCTCCTTGGCGTTTACCAGGGTTCGATTCCCAGGGTGAGCACTTTGGAAGGAAAAAAAAACGTTCTCGCCCAGACAGTAGTCAGATATTCAAAATCTGGAAGAGATGTTGGTTTCGCAAGGAAACATTATAGCCAACCTCCAGTGCGGTGACAAAATAATAATTTATTTAAAAAACGGGGGGGGGGGGGGGGGGGGGGGGATTGTTCACATTTTCCGTCTCGTGATCTTGTGTGTTTGAGGCTTGAGAACAACGGATCAGCATCATGGCACATGGGTGTAACCCATAAGTGCTCCGTTCTTCTTCTAACTCCAGTCTGAGTCCGAAGAAGCTCAGCACAGTGCACAAGCTTTGTAGCACCGGCGAGGATCATGAAATACTTTGGGTAGATTTTTTAAACTCAAAATTTTGCCCGGGCAACGCCTTTAGGCTACGTGCTACAATGCACAAGGGCGTAAAAATCATCTAGTAAAAGCACAAACAGGTTAAAAACGAAAACCTGGGGTTGGCTTGTGACGTCATCATATACATCACAATATTAATATATTACAACAAAGACAGTGCATACAAAATAAGAGTTTGTTTGGCTTTAGGTTATAATTGTGACTAGGTTATTTGCCACAGAAAAAAAAATGGCTCAGCATTGCTCGCCATTAACTATCCCTGACAAGGACTCTTGCAGTGTTGATGCGATCAAATGAGACAGACCCAAATACTGTCCCACAGTCGACGAAGTCGTCTACTGGCGAGCCAATTAAAGAAGAAGAAGAAGAAGAAGAAGAAGAAGAAGAAGAAGAAAAAGAAGAAAAAGACGAAGAAGAACGAGAACGAGATGAAGAACGAGAACAAGAACAAAAAGAAAAAGGAAGAAGAAAAATGAAGAAGAAAAAGAAGAAGGAGGAGGAGAAGGAGAAGAAGGAGGAGAAGGAGCAGGAGCAGGAGGAGGAGGAGCAGCAGCAGCAACAGCAGGAGCAGCAGCAGCAGCAGCAGGAAAAGGAGCAGCAGCAGCAGACAAAGCTTCAATAACAACAGTTACACTGTAAATTAATTTGTAATTACAGCGTATGTTGCTGGTTGATGCTAATTTTCCGCCAGATTGCAGGATTCGTCCTGTTTTGGAAATTGTGCAGTGCATCTGACACTATAAACACCGTTGCCTTCAGTCACTGTTATCTTTCTTAACAATCCCAAGACATTTTTCATTTTAATAAATACACGCGTGACAGCACAGACACACACACACACACCACATTTCCCTACTTTAAACAAAAATCAGAATACGTAACGTTAGTCTCACCAGGCCCCACCCATTTAAGCACTAATTCACTTCTGATTGGTAGTTACTGTACTCCGTAACCTTTGCATAAGGTCAGAGGGGTGTTCCGCGATGCCGTTGATATCGCGTATTGTATATTTCAGCACGCCAGCGCTTCTAAC